GGTGCTAAGGTAATAACTCTATCTAAGCTCTACACCAAAAGTCAGAAGACAGTGCTATACAAAATAACAAAGAGAAGGAGCAAAATGCATTCTCAGGCCCCAAGCCCACTCATAACAAATGCAGGAGACAACAGCATAGAAGAAATTGGAAAGCACACACCTGAAATCTCTGAAATAATAGCATCAGAAGTAAAGAAATAACTGTGGAAAGGTATAGAGGAAATCAGATCAGACATAATTTCTGAACTAAAAAAAGAAATAACTATAATGAAAGAAGTGCTAAGTGCTTCTAAAGAAGACACTGATAAAAAATAGAGGAGAGTAGAGAAATGATGGAATCCTTGAATAAGCATATAGGAAAGAAATAGAATACATGAAGCAGATTCAAAGTGATACAGGAAATTAAAACCTCAATCACAAGCTGGCAAAACCATTTGAATGAAAGTGAAAACAGACTTTCAGACCTTAAAGACATCATTGCAGCTAATGAAAAAGTAAGAATTTCTTAAAAACGATTAGGATGCAGGAAAAAATAATTCAACATCTGCAAGATGATGCAAAGATGAACAATATGTTTAATAGGCATCAATGAGAAAGGAGTCAACACAAATGAGATAAAAAGAATATGGGCAGAAGTAAGGCAGAAAACTTCCCAATTATGGGGAAACAATCTGACATTCAGGTAACCAAAGCATATTGAATTCCAAATAACATCAACCCAATTAAAAACACACCCAGACATATAATAATCAAGATCCCAGAAATTTAGCACAGGAACAATATACTAAAAGCCACTAAAGAAAGAAACAGATCACATTTAAAGGAAAACCCATCAGAATAATGGCAGACTTCTCTTCACAAACCATCAAGTCAAAAAGAACATGGAGTAAAGTACTACAAGTCTTGCGAGAAAACAAATTTCAACCCAGACTGATATACCCTGCAAAACTCCCTTTCAAGTATAATGGAGAAGTGAAATACTTCCATGACAAAGAACAACTAAAGAATTTCATGATGACAAAGCCAAGCCTACACAGACTACTAAAAGATGTTCTAGAGAGGGAGCAAAATGACCACAACTCCATGAATGAGAATGGAAAGAACCCACCAAATAGAGGAAACAATTAAACACAGAATAAGAGGTATAGAGAAGCAGTCCCTCAGTTATTTTGTATACAGCAGCAAAAAATTTCCAAAAGCATACTCCACAAATGGACTTCTCCTGCACCCTATGGGTCATGATTCTATCTGGGTCTACAGGATGGATATCAAGGAAATAGCAGTAGCTCAGTCCCACAAGTGACAGCTGGCCATCAGTATGCGTCATGGACATTGTCCAGGTCCACAACATACTACAACTTTGTGCAATATCCTATCCCCAAACTGCTAGAAGTGCTGGTCATTTATTTGCCACTCCAGTATTTATCTTATGTTTTATTCTTAGTAATTCTTTACTATCATGAAAACTTTTTCTTAGTCCAATTGTTTTGAAATATTTAATTTTTAATTAATATTTAATTTTTTGAATACTTTTTATCTTAATTTTTAAGATTTATACTGTATCTTTGACTTACAATCTACTTAAAAGACATGGTATGGTATTTTCTCCTAGTATTAGGAACTATAAAAAGTATGCTTACGCCCTTCTACTTTGAGAATTCTAGTATATGAATGTAAGTTTCTTGATTTTGGCACAGAGTGAACTATTATATGACTGATCTGTAAATTCTTCATTTTTATTTTGGACAATTTTTATTGTTACATTCATTTAAGTTTGTATATAATTTATTTACAATGTGTAATCTATTATTAATCTCATGCTATGTATTCATTTCAGAAATATTTCTCTAAAATTCAAGCTGTTTACATCTTATATATTTCACATTTCAATATTTGTCAATTTTTAATATGCTGTTAATTATTGATTTTCAATAACGTTAATAAAAAAAGAATCTGAGGCCATAGGGACACTTCTGTGGAACTTAACAGTCGTGTAGGGAGAAAATATTAGCCTTACTGACTGAAGAGGGTTGGTGCTACACACATTAACAACATGGATGTTGAAACCTTTGTGGATGATGAAAGAGAGAGGATGGAAGCAAAAGGCTCAGATGTTAAAGTTCTTTAAAAGTGTCAAAGAGTGTTTTCTAGATGGAGACTTGCTGTTAAGATCAGGGAGAACAGAGACATATTTTTTTCAAAAAAGAAGTGGTATCCAAGTTTCAAAGAGGAACGCTAACCAAAAGCAGGTGCCAGAACAAAGGCCTAGAAACAGCAATAGAGTGAAGTAAATGCTAACTCCTCCATCACAGCCGCATGAGGTGAAATGAACGGCAGAGGGCCTTGGCTTGAGGTTCTGAGAGTCAGAATTATCACCCCAGGGAACAGTGACAAAGTTCAGAGCAAATGATGAAATATATGAGGGAGATGGGTCAGACTAAAGCAGAGAGAAAGAGAGAGAGAGAGAGAGAGAGAGAGAGAGAGAGAGACTGACTGACTGACTGACTGACTGACTGAGACAGACAGAGGCAGGAAAGAGATTCAGATTTCAAGCACTTCAGACTAGAGATGCTCAACCAGTATATGTTATCCAATATGACTTCTGAATGCTGGATATATTCTATAACTGCACTGTCACCATGGCAATCAATAGCTACCTATGGCTATTAATCATTTGAAGTATGAGCAGCACGTTTAGCAAAACTACAAAGCAACTCTAATGGCTTACCAGTGATGGGAAACCTACGGCACATATACTGAAGCAGGTTATTCATATCACTGAGAGCCCTAAAATGTTTACCATCACTGGTTTTAGCTGCATCCCCAAACACAGCAATGAAGCAAGAGCAAGTTTATTATTCAAAGTTCGTGGAACCCTAAACACTGTCTGATCATTAGTGCTAACACTGCTGTCATTATCATCATTCTGAAACATGTCTGACTTAGCCTACAACAGATTCAAACTCATGGTTGTTAGTAAATGTGTGTATATTGTTTGGCACATGTAGATGTTCTAAAAATTTTCCAGGTATAGAGGAAAAACAATTGTCTTTAGTTATATATCAACATATGCAAATGGTTTACTATAGATGTTAAGATTTTCACAGCACTGAAAAAAACTAATACTAAAAAGATAAAATATTAGGTATACAAGTCTCTCAAGGCAGTTTACCATATCGTACTACAATCTTTAAATAGTACAGTGGACCCTTGAGTTACAACCAGCCTGGTGTATGAACAACTTGGGTTATGACTGGAATTTTAACTTGCTACCAGTCATGAGTTATGACCCGAATGCTGGGCACTTGTGCTTCCAGATGGTCTTGGATACAAATTTAACCCTGCAAGAGTTCTAGGAGGAACATTACAACATCCTTTCCTGCAGGGGGTTAAGTGAGAAATCCTGGGCCAATGTCTTTCTAAGGACACTGAGATCTGCCTGTGTAGAGGAGTGTGAACCTTTGTTTTTGTTTTTGTTTTATCTTTTTCTTTCTGTATTTAGGGCAGGGTCTACAGGGTCTCACTACGTAGGTCGGAATCATTGTGATTCTCCTGTTTTCAGCCTCCCAAGTGCTAGGAGATTACAGGCGTGTGCCACCACACCCAGTCTCAAACACTGTCTCAGTATGCCCCGGGCTGGGACCTGTACCACACACTGGGGATCGAACCCAGGCCGCTGCTCTCCACCTAAGCAGGTGCTTTCATCCACTGAGCTATCAGGCCAGCCCTAGAACCTTTGACTGTTAACGTGAGTTACAATCATCCCTTGGGAACAAATTGAGATCATAAGTCAAGGGTCCACTGTAATATAGCAGAGTATTTGCAGAGAAATAAGAATTGCCCAAATAACAAATTTGTTCAGTTTAGAAAAGTCAACTTTGATATACTAGTAGTTTCTTCTTGTGTTTGGGAAAAGCTTAGTTATGGAAGAAAAACCACAGAAACACTAAAGCAAAAAATGAGCAGTTCTACAATGCCTTTATTTTCATCCCACTAGACTTGCCTCTGTCTTTGCAAAATTGGCTTCCTCAGTCATATGTACAGCTGCTTTCACCTGCTCATAAGCACTTGTTTCTCTTTGCTGCACATCTGCCAAGCTGCTCCGTACAGAAACGAGGGCAGACATTAAGTCGTCTCTTTCCCTGTCAGCACAAAAAGAACATTCAGAAGAAGAAATGATCAAATGATTGCGTATTCCTAAGTCAGGAGGGGAAAGCATTAGTACATATTAGAAGACCCAGGCAAGGCCAGCTCAGCACATAGCAGAGCTCAGCCCAGAGAATGAGCCTCTGTCCACACTTGGCGAGTGGCAGGCCAGGCAGCCAGAGGCTGAGAGCATTCGTGGAGGACAGCATCTGCCTGGGACAATAAACTACTGTGGGAAGGGTGGGCAAGCTGACGGTGCTCATGGAGCCCTAAAATGAGTAAATTTGGTAGAAAAAGGGAGGGGGAGTTAAAAAAAGAAAAAGAAAAAGATAGGTATTGTAATTCAAGGTAGAAATCAACATTTTCAAGAAGGGACTAAGGAAACGGCAAAAGATTTTATGTCATCTGAAGAGAAACCATTTCTGGTTTCATTTTAAAAAAGGGAGAAGAGAAGGAAGAGAATGAAGGAGAAGGGGAAGAGGAAGAAGAAGAAACAACCAAGGTTTTTATATCACTGATTTTTCTTCTCTCATTTATTTGAACTAATATATGACTTTCCTTTTCATCTTCCTCCACAAACCACTTTTACATCCTTCTCTTTCAATTAAATTCTTTCAGCTATTTATGAATACATTCTTTTCTTTCAAAGGGTAGCACTGTTGAAACCTCCAAATTCCTGGTTATGCATATTAATACTCACAATTTAACAAAAACACTGGGTTTGGTCACTGCCAAGCAGCCCACACCCCCCAGCAACTCTTAGAAATCCCCTAAGCTGAACTGTTCATTAGGGGAAGACGTGAACAGAATTCCAAAATGATTTGGCATGTAAAATAGTAAGGATCCAATCCCATGGGTAAAATAAATCCCATATTAAATTTCCAAGATATTTAGAATTTATCGGCTGAATAAAAATATTCAGTAGACCAAAGAAAAAGTGAGGTGGGAACTTTCAATACAAACAAAGCCAAGGGGGAAAAAAGTATGTTGGGCTGTTACATATGGTATTCTTCAATTTATTAAAGAGCTCAAATTTTAGACTGTTTCAAATTCAGTTGGAATAAATGCTTGCAGGTCCCTTTTCACTGCCAAGTTCTAAACTCTGAGAAAACAGCCAGCTGTGATTTAATTTAGCAAACTTTGAAGGCTCATACTTTAGAAGATTATAAATGCTGAATTGGAATTAATCACTGACTCCATTTTAAAAAAATCTTACAGATAAAGTAATGTGAACAGTTTGTGTTATTTGGAAAGCAGCCATATTTTAAGAAACACAATGCTGGACAAAGCTACAAATAGAAGTTTCATATAGCTTTTTTGTTAAAAAGTTAACAAACTTCTGTAAGTATAAAATTCAAAGGGATTATGATAGTCTTCACTTTAGAAATTCCTGGTTTAAAACTGATAAAAATTGCTTAATTTTTTACACTAAAGGAAATAAAAAGGAGCAAATTGTCCTGATTAACTAAACTCAAACACAATAATTATGTGAAAACATGAGAGAATCAAAGCAAAATGAATTTTTTAAAGTAAAAATTCAATGCAAGAAAAATTGAATTTATATTTATTTTCATTTCCAAAAGAATCCATATAATATTTTTTGTTCCTGATACTGTGCCATCATAAAGCCCTAGCTTAAAAAGAAAAAGTAGACAAAACAGCTAAGTGTTTTGAAGTATGCCAACAGATAAATCATAACAGGTCAAAATATAACAGATTTGCTTTTTAAGGGAGATTTATTTTTGTTTAAGATATTTAATCTCTTACCAGGATAGTCTCCTATTGAGAGGACATTTGTCACACAGAAAATGCTAAATGTAGTAAGTGAAAAAGAATAAGTGTATGAAGAAAGAAATCTGTAACAGCTGGACATCAAAAGAAATGAGGTAGAGCTCCTTCCTAGCTCTAGTGCAGGACTGAAACCAAAAAGGTCATCTGCATATTTAGAATTGGAAAATGAGCTTAGTTGCTCTAGTTCAAAAATGTTTCAAAATATAAACTCAACAACTTTAAACTGAATTACAGAAAATCAATAAAAATAAACCTCTAAAAACATCAACAGATTCATCATTTAACAGTATGTAAAATGATCATACTAAAGTTCTGTACAACCACTGGATCAACACATTCCAACTTTCTGTCTCACAAAAGCTTGCAGGTGGCCTATAGCAGATGTGGCATGCTTAGAGAAAGCCATTTTGGCGACTCGAGATTGACTGTGTGGTCACTATATTGTGTTGCTTTTTTTGTCTTCTTTTGACTCGCTCAGTCCATATAAATTAGCAAGTACCCTCAAGATAAGGAGCTCTGGACCAATTGGCCCTCTCGCCAACAGAATGCTGGGCTTCTGGATCCACTCCCATGTTCATCTGGCTGTCACTTTCTCAATTAATCTCCCATTTTTCAGCTCCACAGTTGTCCTTAGGATCTAACAGTGCTACTAGTTATCTGCTCTTCAGGAACAGTCAACTGCAGCCAGCCAGGGTAACTCCCATCAGGCACAGTCCTGCTCCAGAGCTCCCAGGGCCACAAGGCCAGCCTATGGCCAGGCCCGAGGGAGGCTCTCGTAAGACACAGTTGCACAGAGCACATGAGAGATCAGTGGGACAGTTAAGAGGGAAGTCCTCCAGATTACCATCTGCCGGCAAAAGTGCCTCCAGGCTTAAAAACATCATGTGAATGTTCTGGTAAATGTGACCAAGGAGTTTCTAGAAACAGAGCAAGCAACGAAGTATTAACCTCTTAACATTCCATGAGCTTCATAAAAGGCAGCTGAGCAGAAAGACAATGTAAAGAGCGTGAATGCCAGTTCTAGGGTAGAAAACCATGCACTAATACACACTACAAGTATGAAATATTTAAGGAACTTAGTGAAATAATCAGAGCAGGCAAAGGATTGAAAAAGTCTCCTAATAATCTCAGCCAAGTGTTTAAAAATAAGCAAAGAATTGGTCTGCTATATAAGCATAAGTTTTATCTTGAAATATGGAGGACCTAAGAAATGTCTTAGAATTCCTAAATTAGTTCAATATGTGCTATCAATTTTAAGCATTACTAAGTATTATTAAGTATGATTACTTTTTTTTTTTTTTTTTTTTTTTAAAGTCTAGAAGGCTTGCTGAGAGTGGTGGCATACACTTGTAATCCCAGTACTCAGGAGGCTGAGGCAGGACAATCATGAGTTTGAGACCATCCTGGGCTGCAAAGTAAGTTCAAGCCCAGCCTGAACTATGAAGTGAGACCCTGTCTCAAAAAGAAAGAAAGAAAGAAAGAAAGAAAGAAAGAAAGAAAGAAAGAAAGAAAGAAAGAATCTAGAAGGCTGATTACAACTTTTCTTTCTTCCTCATTTCTGGGAACTTGTTTCCTGTCTCTCAAAGCCAACTATAGAGAACACTGTCAATGATCTGCCCCAAAAGCAGATAGTTACGTGGTAATTATTTCTTCTTAAAAATACACTAAATCCTCTTCAAAGTATTTTGAGCAGTTCCATCTTGATTACCATTAAAGGTCTCTGACCAGCAAGCAAAAGAATAAGAAAACAGCAGAGTTATTCTTACTGTAACTTCCCTTATGGCATAAAGAGGCCCAAGTGAAAGGCAGAAGTTCAGAAACCCTGGGAAGGCTCTAAATGAACCATAAAAAAGTATCAACTGTCATCAACAGTTATCAAGTATACTTGGCAAAACATCTTTAAGGTCTTAACAAAATACCACAAATATACGGGTGGTCTAGTCTCCAAATTATGCCTGATCTTCCGATCATACTGATGTGATACAGTCAAAACAGTATATGCTAAGAAGGGAGATTATTGGGGTGAGGGGGAGAAGAAATGGGGAACAGAAATGATCAAAGATATTACACATATGCATATGACAAAACAAAATCCATTATAATAAACATGCACTGATGTAAAAATTGTATATACTAAACAAGGCAGCTGAGAGCTGATGTCACAGTACCACACTTCCAAAAGAGGCCAGAAAACTCTTTTTGATTTAACATATTTAGGGTATAATTTTGTAATCTCATGTTAAAATCCTAAAAAATTTTTACTATGATAAGAGATTATTGAGGGGTCAGGCTTCTGAATGCATAAAATTAGAAATCTAAACCTAGAAAGTACTGGCCACCCTACAAAGGCAGCTTGGCATTCAATAGTCAAAATTCTGTAATTAACATGTTGGGAAAAAGTGAACACTAGCTTAGGTCAAGGGAATCACACAGACAAAAAAAAAAAAAATTGAAAATGAAGGCAGAAAACTTTCAATCTATTCTGTTATTCAAGCAGAACATGGAACAACAAATTGAACTAAGTAGGTGGACATTAACTTTAAGAGGCTGAGATCAAATTTAGGATAGAGACAAAGAAATTCGTAACCGAGCAAGAATACAATTTCTACATGACTGCCAGACTTGGAACCAATATAAACATCGTAGCTTCCTTTAAAAAATATTTTTCTCATGACCTACAGGGATGGATAATACGAAAGGCAGCAGAGTAGGGGAAAGAAGTCCTAGATTTTACTTGTTAAATAGTTTTCTTGGACTAGTCTTAAACTCTGCTTCTCTTTAAATGAGTAGCATGTAAGTACTTTTTCTTTAATTTTTTTCATTACATTGTCCTTGCAAAATTAGTTACTAATATGGTTAAAGGCCAGCTTCTTCTTTTTTGTATTTAGTATAGGGTCTATAGGGTCTCACTACACAAATTGGACTCATACTGTTTCTCCTGTTTTTAATCTCTCAAATGCTGGGATTTTTTTTGAAGGTAGAAATATTTTGATTTTCTTCACCTCTAAAGAGCAATATCTATTTCTCCAAGGAGAAGTTATATGATGGTTTATTTTCAGATTTGATCTCTAAATCACAAGTGTGTGCCACCAAATCCAGTCTCAATCTCCCTGTCAGCATGCCCTGGGGGTGGGGCCAGCTCAGCACCACAGGGATCAAACCCCCTGTTCCTGCCTCTGCCCAAGCAGGCACTGTAGTCTGCTGAGCTATCTGGCCAGCTCTTAAAGGCCAATTTCAAACAAACTCAATTCCAATGCCTTCTTCTATCTCTCTAGTAGTAACTGCTGTTAAATATAAGATGTCTATTCTTCAAGACTTTTTCTATGCATATGTATAAAACCAGAGAAAAAGTGCTATGTTGCTGCATATAGCCTTAGAAAATACAAATGGTTTTCTCTTCAGCTATTTTGTTTTATTCCAATAATATATTTTGAGGTTAGTCCCACGTTAGTACACATAGATTTAAATTCTTTTTTTTTAATATTACGCACAATATATAGTTTATTGAAATCATAGTTTAGTTTCTTCATGGAAGATATTTAGGTTGTTCATACAATTACAAGCAACTCTGCAAAAAAGCATTCCCTATCTTATTATGCATGTGCATAAGGTTTTTCCTCTATCATAAATTTTAAAAAGTATGATGAATAATTTAAATATTAAATGGATAGTACTAAATTACCCTCCAAAGTGGCTGTACCAATTTATATATCCACTAGCAGGGTATGAAAATACTCGCTTATGACCTCATACCTCCTAGAATCATCAGGGTTCTTTAATTTTACCATTCTAATGGTTGCCTTTTTGCTGAGACTGGATTTCCATGAATATCAGCAGAACAAGTATCTCCTCATGGATTGATGATTTTTCTGTTCATCAATTTCCTTCCTTACTATAGAATTGAGCATTTTATTGTTTTTGTTTGTTTCAAAGGAAACTGTTTAGTCTCACTAATATTTTGTTTTGTATAGAACATATTTTCACCCTAATTTCAAATATTTTATTGTAGTGAATTTATTTATTTTTAATTCAATTTATTTAATTTTGTAGTATTAAACAAGCAGTCTAGGGCCTTGGACATGTTAAGTAAACACTTTACTACTCATATCCCCAGCCCATAAATGTTTTTCAATGTAGTGAAATCTATCATTTTTTTCTTTATGATCTTTATTTTTCATGTCATGCTTGGCATTACAATAAACTGAAGGCTATTAATACAATCTTCTACTTTTATTTCAAATATATTTATAGCCTGAATTATATCTGGCTCTATAAACTGTCTTGAATTTATTTTTAAAAATATTATTCATTTATCCAAATACAAACAGGAAAATTTTAAACTTATCTGAGCTTCACTTTTCCTAGCTACAATGTGGGATAATAATATCTATCTCAAGACTGAGCATGGTGGTGCAGGCCTGTGATCCCAGAGCCAGGGAGGCTGAAAACAGGAGGCTCGCTACAAGTCTGAGCTGTGTAGTGAGACCCAGTACCAAATACATAAAAAAAAATCTATCTCATAAAAAATGATACATTATGATTAGGAGGGGGCCAGGGAGATAGTTCAGTAGAATAAGCTCTTGCCTAGCAAGTGCAGGGTCCTGAGTTCAATTCCCAGTACCATAAAAAAAAAAAAAAAAAAAAAAAAAAAAAACGATTAGGAGATTATGTTTTTAAATTGCATGGCATAACTCTTGACAACTAATAAATGCATGTTATGGGGATGTGAAAATACATTTAATAAAATTTGAATATAGTGATTTAATATTTAACAAAAATAGAGCCATCTATGCAGATCAGAAAACATAACAGCCAGTCCATACTGGAGACTCAGTTTTTAATATAGCACAGGTTAATCATATATGGAAGCCATAACTACCAGATACACGGAGTGGTCTTGCACTTTGGAAGGCATAAAGGCATTTTAGTGCTTAATGAGTATTTAACATAGATCAGGAAGCACGTTAAACATTATATTCTTGAAAGAGTTCTCAGAATACCTTATTGTTAGGTAATTTTATTACCATTTATATTTATAGCGCACAATGCAGTCCAGGCCGGCCTCCAGTTCATGGCAATACTCGGGCCTCAGCTTCTTTGGTGCGGGGATTACATGCATGAAACACCATGCCTGGCTCTACTACCTTTTTTTTTTTTTGTATTTTAGGACACGGTCTCCATGGTCCCACTGTGTAAATCAGACTTGTAGTGATCCTCCTGTGTGCAGCCTCCCAAGTGCTGGGATTACAGGCATGCACCACCATGTCATCTCAATCGCTGTTAGCACATGCGAGATAAGGCCAGTACGGTAGGCCTGGGGATCAAACTCCCAGCCCCTTTGTCTGCCTAAGCAGGTGCTTTAATCTGATGAGCTATTTGGCTGGCCCTTCTACTACCATTTTTAAAATGAGGGAATTAAGACACAGAAACACTGAGTACGTATTGCAGGCCAGGCTAGAAATCAGGTCTGTGGAAAAAACAAAAACATAGTTGCTGCCTTCATGTACACAATATATTATAAATATCACAAGAAGAAAGAATCAAACACAGTTGAGAATAAGATGGGGTAGTAGTTAGTGAAAATACTTCCAAAGGAAAATTGTTGGGCTGGGGAGATATGTTAGGAAAATAAGCACTTGCCTGGCAAGTGCAAGGGCCTGAGTTCAATCCCTGGTTCTGCAAAAAAAAAAAAAAAAAATTAATAAAAAAGAAAGACAATTGTTTGGGCTATTGGAGTGAGCAGAGTAGAGACAGGTGATTTTGAACACAGAAAAAAAGTAGTAGAGGGTATGAGAAAACACATACTTGAACAGATGCTATAATAACAATTCTCAAGTTCCACTAAATAATTTTTTTACATGGAATGGTGAAAATAGAACCAAAAAGATGTACAGAGAATTGTAATATTTCAGCTTAGATGAAAACTTAGACAATCTAAATGCTCAGGTATAATTTGCCCTTAGCAACTGTCCAACATCATTACTGTGAGGCAATGGGTCTTTCCTCCATTAGACTCAGAATGTTCTTCACAACAGGCACATGATGAAGACAGGATAACAACTCACTCTTCATATACTATAACGAGGAAGCCCAAGCAAAATCAAAGAAATTCCTACCACACCCTTTTTTGTTAAGAATTGTGGTAGACTGAAAATTACAGTCATAGAACTGAACAGAACTATAGAGAGTATCCAGTTGAACTTTTTTACTTCAAGATGAGACTGAAACCAAGAGATAAAATTATTTTTCCAAAGTGATATGGTTGTTCAGAGTAGGCTGAACCTAACCAATCTTTCTTCAAGAAAGCTACAACAAAGTAACCTTTAAAATCTACTTTATTTGAAACTTAACACTGATCACATATGACAGTATGAGGATAAAGAAAAGGTGCCCTTTAAAGACCTAATATTCTATGTTGCCAAAGGCCTGCATGGAGAAACATACTTACCTAGTCAGTCTTTCGATGGTCTGGATGTGTACATTATTATGGGTCTGAGAAAGAACAGCTTCTTGCTGAGCACACTTCAAACAAAGACCACTAACGCGGTTGGAAACATTAGTAGCAAGAAGAGACTCTTTATGCTTTAGTCGCTGTTTAAGATCGTCACAATTTTTCCGATATTCAGCTAAGTCTTTCCTAAGAAGGAAAGAAAAAAAAATCACCAGATGAGTCTTCATTGTGAATTACTACTATTATTATTAGTATGGATAGCTACCTTACTCCATCTACAGTATAGACAGTAACTTCTTCATTCTTACCACAATCCTGAAAAGCTGGTGTGATTATCTTAACTGATACAATGAACATAAAGAGACTTGAATATAAATAATTATTTATATAAATAATACTAAATAATTCAGGTTCTTGTAAAATTTTAAAACAAATTAGATTCCTATGATAGGATTCTAACTCACTGCCCACAAAACACAAAGAAATCCTGAGCTGTTCTCTTAATGAAAGGGTGAGACTACATATTACAGCATCATTGAAGTGAGAGAAATAGGTTACTTCAAGTGATAACCCTAAAAAATGTACAGAGAATACCTGAAGTTCACAGAAGAAACATGGAATTTATCTGTGACTAATTTAGTATTTCCCAGTTTTAGGAGGAAAGTATTAAAAATTATCTAACCAGAAAGTTCTGCAAAGAGTTGTCCCAAAACTAGGCTACAGAAAGAAGTCAAATATAATTTAATAGTCGTTTCAAAAGCAGCAGCTGTTAGCTGGAAGCATGCAGGTTGCTACAGAAAAGGCTGAAAGAAAATGGGGAGAGAGAGAGAGAGAGAGAGAGAGAGAGAGAGAGAGAGAGAGAGTGTGTGTGTGTGTGATTTTTGTTTGTTCTGGGCTCATTCTAGATGAAAATTTTCCCCAAGTTGACACCTTTTTTAGAATTAAGTATTCAGCATATAACTTGCATTTTCCTCCTTCTTCATAGAAATGTAATAGAAAGTCTCCCCTCCCCCTGCCAGTACGCTTTAGTTTCTTAGTTTCCCAGATAAAGGTTCCTATTCCAGTTCCAGTTGCTTCTGGTCTCTTAGAAATGGTTGCTCACTGTGGTGTATAGCTGGTCACTATGATGCACATCATATAAACCAGTCCTCAAATAACGAGCCATTCTGTCTCTATACTTCCTGCTTGCTTACTCTGTATAAGCCCTTGACCTCCAGAGATCAGGGCCTGATATTTTAGGAAGGATCCCAATCATTGCCGACTAATGTAAATAAATCTGTCCCCAAATCTTGGGTGTCATATTGGCATTTCTATTGGCTACTGCATCTGGTGTGTTGGCTGGGAAGGCTGACTGTGCTGACTTCTTCAGTCACAGTTGTAGCCCTCACAGATTTTATCAGTTACTTTTCTCTCATTGCTAGGACAAAATACCCGATACCCAGAATTAAGGAAGGAAAGGTTTATTTAGCTCAGTTACTGGAGGTTTCAGTGCATATTCAGCTGGCACCAGGGCAGAGTGGCACACTGCAGAAGGTAGCACTTTATTTTTTATTTATTTATTTATTTTTTAATTTTATTTATTTATGTGTGTGTGTGTGTGTGTGTGTGTGTGTGTGTGTGCGCGGCCAGCTCAGCCCACCAGGGGGCGGGGCTGGCTGGCATGTGGTGCTGGGGGATTGAACCGCGGTCCCTGTGCTTTGCTAAACTTGTTCTAAGTAGGTGCTTTAGACCACTGAGCCATCTCTCCAGCCCAGAAGGTAGCACTTTATGGTAGCAGAAAAACAGCAAAGTACAAATGGAGAAGCAGTGGCTGTGGTCTCTTTCCTTTCCTTATATAGTATTCAGGCTACCATCACCAGCGCAGGTGGAGCACTCATACACATAATCCCAGAACCACTCACACTCACAATCCCAGCACTGGATCATGAATTAATCACAAACTCTAGAAGCTGCCCCATGACTGCATGAAGCTTTGGGGGGACAACTAGACACAAACCATAACAGACAGCGCAAGGATCTCTCCAGGTCCTGACAGGAAGGCATGCCCTTGAGATTTCCTAAGTCCCCTTTGAGTTCTGGAGAAGGATTCCTGGCTCTCTGCTGGAGCGGCTAACACCAGACCCCCAAAAGGAGGATGCAATCCATCTGCTGTCTGTCTTCTTGACCACCTGCCTGATTCCAGTAAGAACCTCAGGGATACTGTCGTTAGCCTGTTGGTCAGTCCTGCTGAGCTTGAGAAGAAAAAGAGCTTGATCAACTCTTGCTAGGAAGGCCACCTCAAGGGAAGAGGGGTTGGAATGTTTAACCTCTGGGTTCCTGCTGAATGATTGTGTGAGTGAGGGGAACAGACTGTGCAAGCACTAGGCTGCTCCATCTATCTACCAAGACCGGGAAACACTGGTGGCGGGGGCTGATTGGGCCCTCACCTGTGGTTCCATGGCAATCGACATATGGCACAATGGAGGCCTCACATCCTTCCTGGGCTAAGTTATGCCTAAGTCCCCATGAGGAGTATGGTCAGGCAACTGAATGGTCTCTTTGAGGGGCACCCATCCTTTGTCTGATGTACCATCATTCAAGGGTGCACAACATACACAGTAAGGAAAAAATGGCTGCAAACCAGAATAAACCCACAGTCCTTGACATTAAAATTGTCCATTGAGTGCAACAACTCAACATGAAAATAAAACCCCAAAATACCTGTGCCTTTTGTGAAATTGATTGGACAAATCTTTGCTCCTACTGGCATCTCTAGGAATACTTGATATTAAAACTGTCCATCAAGTTTGGGACAAAGTGACCAAGTCCGATAAATGAGGCTGTGCTGACCAGTTTTGACTCTGGGCTCAGCCTGTGTCACAGCCTCCCACCACGGCTCCGCACCTGTCCCGCATCTCAAAAAAAAAACCAAAAAACAAACAAACAAACAAAAAAAAAGACAAAGAAAAAAGGAAAAAGAAAAGAGGCCCTTCCTGCAAATTCCATTCTTGCCCTACTACCCTTGTCTGCTGCCATAAATGCTACCACCACCAACAGCTTCACTCCTTGCTCTCAACTCATCTACTTTCAGCCAAGTGAACTTGTTCCCTCTATCCACTGCCTTCAGGGGCCCACAGAGCCTCTACCCACCCTCAGCTGGCTTGTCCTGATCAAATGGCATCATCTAATGTCTGTAGCAGATGACTGTCAACAGTTCCTTCTGAGTTCCACATTCTGACAGGGGAAAAAACTGGACTATCATCTCTGACAAATGAGTTGGGCCCTGTTGGGCCTAAATAGATAGGACAGGCTGAGCTCTATCAAATTTGGCCCCTGAAAGCCTGCAGTTATTACAAATGTCTGAGGCAAATCTGTGACTTTCCTGGTAGACAATGAAATAGAACTCTCTGGGACCCTTGCTTCTTGTCCCTTCTGCTAGGCACAAACTTGCAGCCAGGAGGACGTCTCCCTCGAACCAAGGTGGTCAGCCTCCCTCTCATTTAACCCTGCACTTTCAACTTTGACTAGTCCTTGAGAGAAAGATGATGCTTGCATCCGCCAGAGATAGAAAACCACAATCCTGAGGTTCTGAAAACTCTCCTCCAAGAGGTATAAACTGAAGACTCGCCTCTGGGCCTGGTCATTGAACACTGCTATCAGATATCATAGGAAGCCCAAACAGACACCCTGCCACACAGTAGTTTGCGGGCCTGATAGACTGTTAATCCCCTTGAGCAAAATTTCCATGCCATCAACAACACAGCCATCACCTTACATTCTGTGGTTTCCAAGCCATACACCCTTTTTGGACTGGTCCTCAGTTGACACAGGGTTTGGGAACTCTCCTACTATTTTCATGGAAGCTTTAGCAACAGATTTAGCCACTCTGAAATGGCCTGTTTCTGTTCTTTCCTGCTCCATAATTCTGTCATGGTCCCCTGGACTCTGAGATTGGCCATTGACCACCTGCCTCTGGTCACAAAACTTCATCTGAGGACACCCCCACCTCAATCAAACAGTATCCCACGGCACAAGAGACTCAGCTAGAAATTCAACCACACATCCAGAGATTTCAAAACTATAAAATATTTAGACTGTCAAACCACTGAAACATACCTCTCCTGCCTATAAAGACAGTTCAAGATTTCCACGCTTCCAATGCCACAGTGATTGCCCTCCATCTACATTGCTGTAGTCTTCTGCCACACACAGCCTGCTGATACATCTGCCTAGACTGAAAAAATGCCTTATTCTGCCTTTGATTGGCTCCTGTCAGCCAGTACCTCTTCAAAAAGACTCCAGTTCTAGACTAAAAGGTTACTTGACCTGCACTCAACCTCCCAGAGGTTCAAAAACTTGTTTATCCTCTTTGGAGAAGATCACTACACTTTTGATTGATATCACCCAAACTGCCTACTGAAAAGGCACAAAAGTGCTGCTGCAATATCTGACAGAAACTGGTTACATTAAAAAAAAATAATTCTTGGAACTGCTGGCCTCTCCAAAATCTTGAATTCACCAAAACAACGATGCTCACTCAGACTTCCAGCCCCTGGGAGTACTCAGTGGCTACCTGTACAAATATTCAGATCTGGTTGCTAAGGGCTGCCTTCCCCACTTGCCTCCATATTCTAACAGCACTGTCCTTCTGGTCAAGACCCAGACTGAGACTTAACTGTCCAGGTGCTACATGCTGGACTGGGATGAGCTGTTCTAAAAATGGACCTCCTGACAGATACTGACTACATCCTGGTTACGGATAAAAGTAGATCTGTTAGGAGTAAATTCTGAAAGACAAGATATGCTGTGGTCACATTGGCCAAAACTATTTTTCTGCTGCTGTATGGAAACCTGCCAACAATGATGCAAAATAATCAAGTTCAGAGGTCTAAGGCCCTCCAGGAATCCAACTGACTGAAACATCAATCCCAGCCACCATACCTGCCCCCAACATATGTTCTGCAAGCTCTGGTCATTGGGTTGACATTTGTACCCCTACAGCCAGCTCAGGCTTCAGTGCCTGTGTCACCACCCCTGAATTCCCATTCCCTACCAGTACTGAGAAGACAATAAAAGTTCATAGGGTCCTACTGTAAAAAAAATCATCCCTAGATATGGGCTACCCTTGATCATTGGCAGTGACAACAAGCCTGCATTTATAGCAGAGGTAATGCAAAAATAAGATTAAGTGAAAACTACATGCAGCTTGTAACCAGTTAAAAGACCAGTTCAGTTATATTTGAAGACATTTACATGTTAACTACCTGTACAAGTTTCAGAAATCCAGTCTTAGAGATATTGGAAAATTTACCTGGACAACTCCTCCAGACTTACTAGGAAGAAACAACATACTCGGAGCCTGCTACTTCGGATGATGGCCACTCCACACGTGGCTGAGGCCTAAGAAAGTCATTCATGGGATTGTTCCATAACTATTCCCCTTGATTTTTGTGTCTTTTCAGGCTGCTTACCCTAGTCCTTGCTTCCCCACACCCTGTTAGCTGTATTTTTTTTTTTTTTAATTTACACTCTATGGACAGTTGCTCCAATAAAATAGAATAATCTATCAAACACTTGACCAAGATTTGATGAACATCCAAGGCACAGTGGACACTCTCCTAGATCAGATTAACTCCCTCACTACCTTACCAGAGTAATGTTATGGAACAGACAGGCCTAAATTATGTCTCTTCCTAAAAACAATTTTTTTTAAAAAATTGTCTCTAAAGAAGACAAAGTTGGGGAGCTTGGCTAGGGCCCAACCTAGGATCAGTGGCAACTCTAATAATTAATTACTGCTTCTACTTGGGCCTTCTCTCAGAAGATCACATGTATAATGCCCAGCAAAGATTTGCTAGGGAAACTAAAAGAAGGGAAAAAATTAACAGATACCACCCCCACACACACCTCCACCAACTGCACACTTCAGTTTCTTAGTCCCCCAGGTAATAACTGCTGTTTTAGTTCAGGTTGCTTTTGGTTTCTCAGAAATGTGATGCACAGCTGGTTGATATGATGCTCCATTGTGTAAGCCGATCCCCAGCTGACAAGTCATTCTGCCTCAGTACTTCCTGCTTGCCCATCTAACATAAGCCCTAGACCACCAGAGATCAGGGCCTGATATTCCAGGAATGATTACAAACAGTGCCTATCAATGTAAATAAATCTTTCTCCAAATTCTAGGTGTCATTTGGATGTTTCTGCTTGCCACTGCAGATTGAACTTAGGAGCTTGTGCTTGCTAGGTAGGGGCTTATGCAGCTGAGTCCCATTGTAAGTTTGTGTAAAACACACACACACACACACACACACACACACACACACACACACTTTTTTTTCATGATAGGATCTTTTTATGTTGCCCTGGCTAACATCGAAGTTGCAATTCTCCCACCTCAGTCAGCCTTTGAATAGCTGAGATTAGAGGCTTGTGTCCCGCAACTGTTTCCTATTGTATATTTTTTGAAAAACCAAAGCCATACTTCAGAAAAGAGACACTACTATAAGTTCCTGAGCTACTGGAGGTAGCCAGCTCTTTATCTCAAGGCTTGTCTACTCCTGCTATCAGCATTTCTATGCCTAGGGCTACAAGTATCATTAATGTGCTCACCTTCACAGACAAAAAGCCAAAAACCAAGACTCTTGGTTGTCAGGCACTTGTTAAACTTCTGGTGTTTGGGACCTGCTAAGAACACAGGGGAGATGGAAAAGATCTATGGACAATCTAAGGATTAAGGAAAGCTAATGTAATAATAGCTTAACATGGGGGCAGAGGGCCATTTTTACCCTGACTCCAAGGTAACATCTCGAACACAGTGCAGTTTTGTTTTTCACTATCATGAAGACAAAGTTAAGCTTTCAAAGGATCTATAAAAAGAAATTTGGAAGTATATTCCAAAGTCAAAGTATCCCATTATTAATTTCTGTCAGGGTTAGGCTCAAAACACAAAAATAGATTTAGTCGCAAAAATGCCATAAAAGAAAATTTAAAAGTAATAGTTTTATAGCTAGAGTTTCAGAATAGTAATTTTAATACTTTAAGAAAAGGCATCTTTAATCTTAAATCATATTCAAACTGAAAAAAGGAACAGAAGAATGCAGAGAACAAAGTCTAATTCATAGCAAGTTGGTTTTTTAATGTAATTGAAATGGCATAATTGAATTCTGAATGAGATAAGTCACATTCTTATAAGTCTAATGATCTAAAAATATATTACTTCAAAAACTGAGTAAGATCAAGTAGGTATAAAGGCAAAGGTAAAAGCATGAAAGCAAATATGGGACTATTTTGTATGTGTTAGGTTTCTTTTTTTAAAAAAATATATATTTAGTACAGGGTCCACAGGGTCTCACTATACAGATCAGACTTGTAGCGATTCTCCTGTCTTCAGCTCCGGGATTACAGGCACATGCCACCACGCCCAGTCTCAGTCTCTATCTCAGGGTGCCCCGGGGGCAGGGCTGGCACAGCATGGGAATCGAACCCCAGTCCCTGAGTCTGCCTCAGGAGGTGCTTTAATCTGCTGAGCTATCTGGCCAGCCCCCATGTTAGCTTTCTTAACAAAAAAGTTAAACTCTATAGATATCCAAAAACTCATCAGAGTAAACTATGAAAGGCATGAGGACTCTAACATTTTTAACCATAAAAGCAAAATTCGTATCAATAGCTAGCAATCCTTACTTCTATAAGAAAATAGAAACATTTTAGAATGTAAGGGACAAACTTTATAATTTGTTTCACAGAAATGAGATTTAAAGGACTCACAGTGCTTTTCGGTCTTTACCAATCTGAACAAGTTTTGTATATAAAATGTGATCAAACAATTATAACAGTAATTATAACATTGACTTGTCCTCGTTCATGTATCTTTTAAGACCATATGTATTAGCATATGGATGCTAATGGATGATTTCACTTTACCTCAGATATGTCAGTTGAGATTCCAGAATTTCACTTTTTGCCTCATACATAAATTTTAGCTTCTCCTGTGGAACAGAAAAAAGAAGTCCAGTTTCTTTATTTCCTTTGATTTATAATCAAGTTTTAATGGTTAATAGTAAACTCAATTGTTTTCCTTTTGGCTAACAAGAAAAATAATGTTTCCTCTCAGAAAACACCTCACTCAAAATTTTCTATTTTTACTGAGTAAATACCTACTGAGAACTACCAAGTCATAAAAAGGTGATGACACATGCTGTGCTGGCCTGCCCCTGGGTGCACTGAGTGAGCATGGTGGTACATGCCTGGAATCCCAGTGCTGGGGAGGCTGAAAACAGGAGGATCACTATGAGTCCAAGCTACATAGTGAGACCCTGTACCAAACTCACTAAAAAAAAAAAAAAAAGTGATGACTGACAAATGTTTTTCTTTCAAAATAGCAGATATCAGATCTCTGAGAATAGCAGATCTCTGAGGAAAAACCAGCTGTGGGCTGGGGAGATAGCTCAGAGGTCTAAGTGCCCACCTGGCAAGTGCAAGCACCTGGGTTCAATTCCTGGTACAGTATATTGTGTTGGCCTTGTGCTGAGCAGGACACCGAAATTGGGTATGGTAGCCATGCCTATAATCCCATCACTGGGGAGGTGAGACAGGAGGATCACTACGAATACAAGCTGCATAGTGAGACCCTTTACCAAATAAAGAAATAAATGATTTTTAAAAAATTAAGAAAAACCAGTTGTAATTTATTGGGTCCATGATGGCAAAGTTCATACAGAAAATATAGTGTACTCAGAGAGGCAAGACCTCCTAATTCAGGTAAAATGAAATGCATAAAGCATCAGAGAGGAGGTGGTATGACTTGAAGGATAATTTCCAAACACAGCAAAAACTATAGAATCTTAAGGAGAACACACGACATCTCGGGGTGGCTTGTATGTCAGTGTTAGTAGAATGTGAAATGCTGGATACACACGTGCTTGAGGATGGGACACATAGGTAAGGCTGGGCTATGAGAATAAAAATATACAGTGAGATCTTTGTCTACATGACTCATGTAGTCAACTTTTTATCAGACTGAATCTTAAATCAGAAGTATAGAGCAAGGGAAACCAGCAAAGAAGTCCTTGTATGTGAAAAGAAAGAAATCAAGCAGTAAGCATCCAAAACACAGTACAGGGATATTTAAGATGAAAATTAACTAAATTTTATGATGACTGACTGGGCGGGGGGGGGGGGGGAGGCACTGCGGAGTGGTGGGGGGCGGCCCAAGGGGATGGGAGTGGGGGAGAGACACTAAACCATAATCCTGGATTCTGATTTGAGCAATCAAGTGAATGTTGGTGCTAAAGACTATAGCATATCAATAAAAGAAGACAAAAAGAAATCACAAAAATAAATTTAAAAGAAGACAGAAAAAGAAGGGAAACAAGAATAATAAAATGAAGTTGTTATGATTTAAATTGAGAATGTTCTTCAAAGGGCTCATGCAGTAATAGATAAGGAGTCTGGAAGATGATTGTATAACACTGTGAATATATTTACTGCACATAAACTACATTTAAAATAGTGAAAGTAAACTTTCCATTATATATATTCTTTTATTTTTCTTATTTTGGTACTGGGAATCAAGAGCAGGACCTCACATTTGTCAGGCATATACTGTGCTACTGAACTACATCTCCAGCCCTTCATTATATATATTTCACCAGGATAAACTAAAAAATGGAAAAATAAAAAGCAAATATATGAGAAAAGCATCCAAATACTCACCAGCTCTAGCTTCCATCTGTCACCCTCACTGGAAGCTTTGTGAATATCTCCATCACCCTGGGAAAATGGTCTCTTGGCACCTTCTACCCTTAAATCTTCATTTGCTGTAACCCAAGAATTTTGCACGGTTCCCTAAAATGAAATGCGTCAGTAACTGCAAGCGGCATTCCACTTTAAATAAACATGCATATTTTACAAGTGGAATACTGATTCTCACCCATGTTCAATGGAAAAAAAAAGGCCTATGATTCTAAATTACACTTCAAGAATCATTTTATATTGTCAGTTTATTAGGGTCTCATTCTACAGCAGCTGTAGAGTCAAATTCCTACAGGTATAGGCAATAATCCCAATGTGATCAAAGAGGAATAGATGTCACTAATTTCTACAAATGGGTTTATCCCTTACTCTTCTCCAAAGACATACTTTCTCATCTTATCTTTCTTCTTTCTTTTTCTTTTCTTTTCTTTCCTTTTTTTTTTTTTTTTTTTTTTTTTGGTGCTATGATCTAAATCTGGGACTGCATACTGGTTAGACAAGTCTTCTACCACTGAGCCACCCCTAAAATATACACTCTGGAAACCCATAGCCCTCTCTTGGTTTCTCTTTCACCTTTCAATTTTTGTCAAGGCAGAGCTAGTAATGATGATCGCAACTGTTTGTGGTGTTTACTATGTGCCAGCCTGCACTACATACGAAGACCTTGTCTCAAACAGAGATAATGAGAGAGGGAGGGAGAGAGAGAGAGAGAG